GACGGGTGACGAGAAAGTAGAGAGTGATGTACATGGGAGGAGGGTTTGCGGCGCGGAACTCAGCAGGAAGGGCAGCGCGGTAGCGAGCGTCACTAGCGCGGAGGTGGGTAACGAGGTCAGCGACAGTGGGAAAGGCAGCGAGGTCAAGGAAGAGGAACGGTAGCATGAGGCGGCTAAGCGTAGCGGAGGAAGGGGAGGAGTAGCGCGCAACTACAGCGTCGTACAAGGCCTGAGCGGTCTTGCACTGACTAAAGTGAGCACGCTCGGAGGAAGGGAGGTGGCGACGCACAGCAAGACGTGCAGCAGCATCGCGTGTGGCCCACTTGGAGCGAACAGCAGGGTCAGCATCAGCAGGAGGGGCAGGGACAGCTCCAGAGACAAAGTCAAAGAGAGAAACCTCATCGATCGCATCGCACAGTAAGTACAGCCGCAGGTCCTCAATCCAGACTGCAAAGTCAATGGCGCGACCCTCAGCGTCAAAAGCCAGGACACTGGGGGTGGCCATTGCAGCAGCTGATAGTCTCACCGGGCAGGAAGAGTCGGGTAGCACAGCGGCGCAGAAACGCGGCAGAACAGCAGTTGCGTAAGCCTCGGAGCAGCAGCAGCCCCGAAGGAGGAGGAGCTCGGCTCCTCAGGTTGCCCGGGCGGCTTGGGCGGCTCGGGCTGCTGGGGCGGCGCGGGCGGCTCGGGCGGCTCGGGAGGCTCGGGCGGGTCTGCTGCTCGGGCGGCTGGGGCGGCTCGGCTGCACGGGCGGCTGGGGCGGCTCGGCTGCACGGGCGGCTCGGGCGGCGCGACGGGCGGCTCGGTGGCGGTTCGCAGGCGGCTGCACCGGCGGCTCGCGGGCGGCTGCACAGGCGGCTCAGGGACGGCGGCACGGGCGGCTCAGGGATGGCGGCCTGGGCGGTCGTGGGCGGCTCACGCTGGGCGGGTGCACGGGCGGCTCGGCGGGCGGCGTACAGGCAGCTCACGGGCGGCTGCGACGGGCAGCTCGCGGGCGTCGGGCGCTAGGGCGCTGGGGCGACGACGGGCGGCGCTCAGGCGTCAGGGCGGGCGGCCGTCAGGGCGCTAGGGCGGGCGGCGCTCAGGCGTCAGGGCGGGCGGCCGTCAGGGCGCTAGGGCGGGCGGCGCTCAGGCGTCAGGGCGGGCGGCCGTCAGGGCGCTAGGGCGGGCGGCCGTCAGGGCGCTAGGGCGAGCGGCGCTCGGGCGCTAGGGCGGGCGGCCGTCAGGGCGCTAGGGCGGGCGGCGCTCGGGCGCTAGGGCGGGCGGCGCTCGGGCGCTAGGGCGGGCGGCGCCGGGCGCTAGGACGGGCGGCCGTCAGGGCGTTAGGGCGGGCGGCCGTCAGGGCGCTAGGGCGGGCGGCGTTCGGGCGCTAGAGCGGGCGGCCGTCAGGGCGCTAGGGCGGGCGGCGCTCAAGCGCTAGGGCGGGCGGCGCTCGGGCGCTAGGGCGGGCGGCGCTCAGGCGCTAGGGCGCGCGGCCGTCAGGGCACTAGGGCGGGCTGCCGTCAGGACGCTAGGGCGGCGGCGCTCGGGCGCTAGGGCGGGCGGCCGTCAGAGCGCTAGGGCAGATCGAAAAAAAAAAAGTACTAGGGCCCGGAGCGCGCTCCGGGCAGAAAAAAGTTACGAGGTAGCAGTGGTGGGCCCTACGAACAGTTCCCACAGGGGAACCTGCTCGATACCATGAGAATAAGTGAACAAGGATGAGTGAACTATGAATGAAGTGAGTATATATAGGAAACCCTAATTGGGTTGTACCCCCTATGAGATGGCCCACTATAGCCTACACAAATATATAAGCTATAATGTTCTGACAATTATAACCGCATACCTATACCGAACACATTATAACCGCCACCCTGGTTTTTTGTTGTTTTTTTTAATTTGAAGACATTTTATCCACTATCATATCAAGTTAGTTAATCTACAACTAGTTTATCTACTTCTAGTTAATCTAATTCTACCTACGAGCCTCACACAGGCTTCACCTTTTTCTAGAATTCTACCCTACTCTAATCATCAGCTACAGTGGGGTCATCTGGGTCGGCCTCAGAGTCCGACTCAGGTTCCTCTACGTTGTTGCAGAAGAAACCGTCTGCTGCAATTTCATCATCCATGTCAACCTCCTCGCCCTCGAGCTCGTCTCGCCTGTGTTGCAAGCAGAGCTTGTCCTGGGACCCATCCAGGGCGTTGCTGATGCCGCAGATGAGGAACGCTCGTTGAATGAGCTCCTTGGGCACGGACTTCCAGGCCGCCGAGATCCACTTGAGCGTCGGCTCGACAGGAGGCTTCTTGATGTTGCCTGCCACGCAAATCCACAAACCGGGTCAGCACGGGTTAAAGAAATAAAAACGTAATCAGTGCTGCACCTCTCACCTTTCTTCGTCAAGGTGTCGACCCCCTCACGCTCAAACCACTCCTGGTAGAGCTGGCGAACGGCGGCCTTGAAGGAGCGGTTAACCGCGACATCGAGGGGTTGAATCTCCGAGGTGCAGCCAGCAGGGATAACCGCAGGGACCAGGTTGAGCTCGCCAAACTTCTTCTTCACCTCCGGGGTCAGGTGCCCGCGGTACGAATCGAGGACGAGCAGAGCCTTGCGGGGACGGACTCCGAACTTGGGGTTGATGTACGGCTTCACCGCCCCGTCCAGCCACTCGATGACCCCGTCCGCGTCCATCCAACCGTTGGGATGGACCCCCACGTGGATATATGCACAACATAAAAACCACGATGTTAGTTACCGTACGTTTATCACCTGACATGAACATGCCACCGCGTAATCGACGTGTGCTTCATACCTGAAGGAAAATCTCCTTTGGGGACGGTCTTCCTTTTGAAGAAGACCCACGGCTTCAACTTCTCCCCGCTAGCGATGCAGGCGAGCATCACGGTAACCCGCTCTTTCTGGTAGCCGCTGCTGCGGACAGGCACGGAGCGCGAGCCAACCTCTTCAACGGTGCGTTCGGATGGCATCTCAAGCCAGAGGGGCGTCTGGTCCGCGTTTAAGATCCACGGCAGGTCGATCTTGTACTGGCGGCGGGAGTGACGCACGTACGTCCAGAAGCTCTTGACATCACTCTCGCAGTCTGGGACACGGGATGGGAGGAACAGAAAGCACAAACACAGAGTGAGAGCCGTGAATAGACGGTTCATACAAACAACAACACCACAAAATAACTCACTTGACAAAAGCTTCTGGCCGACCTGGGTCTTCGCTCTGGTCGTCAGGTTCCAGCGGCGGCGAAAGCGCAGAGTCCACCGCTGAGAGCCGGCCCACTTTTCACCTGGGTGTAACTCTTTCATCACCTCGCGCGACCACTTCTGCAGTCGTGCGATCGAGACGGCGAGGCACTTCTTGCGGTGGGCGAGAAACCTCCGGCACACCTCCGCTTCCATGTCGCGATACCACGAGCTCCTTCCGCGGCCGTGCAGGCGACAGCGTGCACCGTGCGCGCCCTCAAGCTCAGCCTTCCGGCTCTTCCACTCCGTGAGACACCTTCGGGAGATGCCGGATTCGCGAGACATGCGCCGCACACTCATCTCTCTGTTTTCGAGCTTCAGAATCCATTGCAGCTTCTCATGCGAGGTGTAGGAATTGCGCATGTGCTTTGTTGGCTTGTGCCTGGGGGAGGGAGGACGGGCATCACGATTATCGCGAGATGGGTGGGGCCTTTTTTTATTCAGAGGGGGGAAGGAGGGAATTGGAAGGTGCTCGGGGAGACCGTCAGCAGCCCAGAACTCCACGTCGTCGTCTGCACCGGTTGCGGATTCGTCCAGCGGGCAAGCAGCCGGCGCTCCCCACCGTTGCTCCGGTGCGGAGGAAGATCCTTCGCCGCCGCTGCGTTCAGGCTCGGACAGGAAGGCGTCGAACGCCGAGTAGCCACGCGGGAGGAGAAGCTGCAGAACCCCCTGTCCCGGAACACAAACAGCAGGCGGGACAGGAGGGGCCGGAGGAACGGGAGGAATAGGAGGCGCCGGGGGAGCGGGAGGGGTAGGAGGCGTAGGAGGAGTGGGAGGAACGGGAGGCACTACTGGTTGTGATGGAGGGACGGGCGCAGGGCGCGACTGCCATTGAGAGTAGTCACGGGTGTCTCTGCAGGTACTTTCTCTAGCAGCAGGTCGGCGGCGGAACAAGAAATGCGTGCTTGGAAGGTCCGCCATGGCCACGGCAGGCCAAGCGAACAAAGAAAACTGAATCGAAAGCTGAGAATGAGGGCCGTATGAAGCCCTCGCCCGAGACCCCTTCAGTTTTGCGGCCCGGCTTCCTCTGCGGGGAAAGTCCAGCCACAGTCAAGATTCCTCGCAGAGGAGCTGAGCTGGGAAGCTATTTGCCTCAATGGCAGGGAATCTTGATGTTGATGGGCACGTCGTGGCTGAACCACGACGTGCCCACGATCGCATGCAACCATGATTGGGCCGCTGTGATGCGAAGTACGTGTGCGCTGGCATGGGCCAGGTTCACGTTCGATGAACCTGGCCTGACCAACAAGGCGTGGAAGGCGTCATGCCACGCCTTGTTGGCCGTTTCACGCGCAAAGCATGCACAATTTCGAACGTTCTCGACTCAGGTGAATTCGCCTTTGAGAATGCTTCGATTTGGTATATTTAAAAACAAATTTCATTTTTGACATAACATAAACGCCGGCGCTTATAATTTTACTATATTATAAGCCCACCCCCTAAAAAAAACATGTTTTATTAGTGCCCCCCATGAGGGTTTATCCGGGGTATGACGGTACCGAGAATGGAATCCAGTTCTTGGTCAGACAATGAAGCAATATTGTTCGGACAATGAAGCAATACTAATGGCCAATAATAGTACCAGAAGGCTGTACTCTTGCCTTCATTTCACAGGCACTTGCGGTAATCTTCCATTTCCCCCCCCCCCCCCTCTCTAATCTTTTGTTCTCAAACTTCTCCAGCACTCTCCTCAGCTCCATGGCCTCTGCTTCCATGTCATCCATCGTGTGGGCTGGCCTGCCAAGTGACCTACTCTCCCTTCGTCATCACTTTTCACCCATCCTCTCTCCCTTTTCTCCTTTCTCAAACTCCTCCAGCACCCTTCTTAACTCCTTGGCCTCTGCTTCCATGTCATCCATGGTGCGGGCTGGTCGGTTCTCCTCAGCGTCCATCCTCAGCTTCTTAGCCTCCTTCTCATTCTCCTCAATCTGCCAAAGTTGACAGTCAAACACAAACAAAAAAAGGAAAAGGCGGTCTCCGCATTCTTCCCCTCCTCTACAGAGTCTACACCCATTTGCAGCTTCATTGCCTCCAAACACTTAAAAAAATGAGACCGTGCTGTGAATCAAAAAGCGGAATAGAAACAGTAAAAGACCAACAGAAAACGAACAAAATTCCCATCGCATCCCTCCCTTCCACATTCGCCTCCAAGTTCTTTCTAACCTACAGAGCGGTGAGCATTGGAGTAGCGACAGTATTCGACCCAACACTCTGATGTGAACCTACAGAATCTCTCAGCATATCACTACTGCGTACACAGTAGCGTATCACTACTGCGTTCACAGTAGCGTATCACACTGCATACGAACCTTCACTACTGCGTATCTCTCTGCTGGCTTGAAGTAGCGTTTACAGCGTAAAAGGAGGGCCTTTTTTCAAATTCACTTACTAACAACAGCATTCAGCCAAGCATATCCGCGCAAGGGCAAGAGCGCACGCCTCACTGTAAATTGACACGCATCAAAACAAAAGAGAATAAGAACAAAACAAAGCTGTTTCACCTCGAGCATACCTCATTGTAGATCTTGTCATTGGGTACAAAGTCCCCTTCCCTCCGTGGCATGACATGCACATGAACATGCGCCACTGTCTGCCCTGCTGCTGGTCCGTCCTGGCAGGAGAGCAATACACGGATGTAGAGGCAAGGCGGAGGTGAGAGTGGGTGATTACAGCTTCAAGTGACTCAAAAGGCATGTGAACATGCGCCACTGTCTGCCCTGCTGCTGGCCCATCTTAGAAGGAGAGAAAGACAAGGATACACCGGGAGAATTGACACGGAAACTCTTGAATGATGGCTCACAGAGCACTCCCATGCACATGCACATGCACATGCACATGCACGTGCACGTGCACATGCACATGCACATGCACGTGCACATGCACATGCACTACGGTCTGCCCTGCATGCGAACAAGACGAAGACATGGGGGGAAGGGGGAGGTGAGAGCGACTGTAAAGATGACAATTAAAAACAGATGTGCACATGCGTCACTGTCTGCCGTGCTGTTGGCCCGTTATGGTATGCAAACAGGCAGGTAGAGGGAGGGGTGAGAATGCAAGAAAGTATAACTTTCAAAAGATGCTTCAGAGTATAGAGGTTTCGGGTTCACGAAGAAAAACACATCTTTTCAGAGTATGACACATGTCTGACTGAGGGTGCGCACATGTCTGACTGAGGGTGCACACATGTCTGACTGAGGAATGTGAAATCAGTTCGTCTGTGACACAGTACTGTGAGCATCATGCTACCAGTCTATTATCATCACACACACCACGTAAGCATCATGCTACGAACTTATTATCATCACACACACCAGGCGATCATCATGCTACGAACCTATTATTATCACACACACCAGGTAAGCATCATGCTACGAACCTAATATCATCACACCTGAACATTGGCCACACCAGGTAAGCATCATGCTACCTACTTATCATCACACCTGGATGGTGTATGTAGACGAGGTGCATCCTTGGTGGGGTTCAAAGGCTTGACCAATCTTCTGCGCCAGCAGCCACATGTCTGTGACCTCCTCGGCAGTCATGTCCTTGTAGCGTGGCACCACACGCCGAGGCAACACGAGCACGTGACCTGCACGAATAAGTATTGCAATGGCGGCAACAAGGAGTAAAAAGGGGGGGCGTTGAGTCCACTCAGCAACCACATGTCTGTCTGTGACCTTTTTCGGGAGCCAGTTCCTCGAATCAAGGCGTGGCACAACACGCCGAGGGGTGATGAGCACGTGACCTGTGGGGGAAGAGTGGGAGTAGCGGAGGGGTGACGGGGAGCAGCAGGTGTGGTTTGAGTGGAGTCAGAAGCCACTCACTTTTTGCTCATCATCTTGTGCTGCGGGAAGCCCTGTCATGGAAACGAGGCACCACGTGCCAGGGCAGCACGGGCACCACCCGCTACTGGCAGGGGCAGCACGGGCACGTGACACGGAGCGTAGCAGCAGGAATGGAGGTAAGATTGGCGGGTTTTTACGATCAAATGAAGCTGGACTGGAAGAGGCGTTTGGAGGCGCCTCAGGGAAAGTCTGAAGCTGGAAGCAAGCAATTCAGATTAGTTCGCCAGCACGCGTGATCGAATGCATGTCTGTCGCCGACGCTAATATTGTTTCCACCCGGAAGACAACATTCCATCAGGCTAACATCTGTGGATGAGGTGCATTCAGATACTTCACAGAAAAAACAAACACAGAACACACACAAAGGCGCTTGCTACGTCCGTTCTCAGCGAAGTCTTAGCATAATGGCAGCAATAACTCCATCCCAAAAGATTGAGTGTCTCGTACTATGTAAGTACAGGTTTTTCTACATTCAATTTACTCTATATAGCTCTGTATCTGCAATGTAGAAAAACCTGTAAGTACATAGTACGGGGACCAAACATTTTTGGGATGTCGTCGAATTCTTCTCACCCTTAACGACGGGCTTGAAGTTGACTATAGCGAGCGACAGTTTCGTTTCAGCGAACACCTCTCTGGGGTCCAAATCCCACCGCCCGAACTTGATCTTCGTCGCTGACGTGTCCGCTAGCGCGGCTGACGTTGAAGGTGGTACGTCTGACGTGGCTGCCATCGATCTCGTCCCGCTGGGATATCGCTGATTCTGGCAAAATTTCAGCCGAGCGTAAAAAAGAGTTTTATGTGGGAGGAGGAGAGCCGCCGTGAAAGAAGTAGCAGTGGGATGAAGGGCTGAGCCAATAAGGAGCCGACTGGCGCCTAATCGGAGAGGCAACGAATGCGCCGTGATGGCAAACTGAGTGGGGAACACGATGGGCGGGAATAGGAATCTAGAGCTGGCGTGATTGACGCGCGAGTGAAGGACGCGCCCGCGAGGGATGATCGACAAGCCAGCCCAAGATGATCTGACGGAAACACGACAATCGCAGCGCGAGGAATGCGGGTGGGTGCTGGATTTGTGGGGAAGTAGATATCTGGGATGGATCTGGAGAAGAATATTCGTTATAGCATGCTGTATTATGCTTTAGACTTCTCCGAAATAGTCCTTACAGCCCAGAAATCTACTTCTCATCATCCACATTTGAATTGGCGTCCAGGCATCGGTACGGGAGGGTAGATTCCAAACTGCGCCGAAACGAAAGCTGCAGGTGGTGGTGTTTTCTGTGTCATCGCGAAAAAGGAAAGCTGCGAAAATTGGCCTCCGAAGGTTTTTCTGCGGAAACCTGGCGTACAAGTTGCGCGAAGTATCCAAAAATCAACGCACGAAAATCGCAACATTCGGTACACCAGTTGCTTTTCCGTCAAATTTTTCGGGTCAGTCGGTGGCGAACGTTCGAGAGAGATCTCATGCGGTTTTGCAGAGTGACGAGGGCAGTGTAATGTAACCATAAATTTAACGAAACAAATTGAATCCACGAAGTCCAGCGAGGTTCGCCAACTGCATACATTGTTTTCGTTCAGTGTCCTATCTCAACCCAACCACCCAACCCAACCCACACAAGTCAGCTGGTTTCTTTAGGGGTGTGACATGTAAGCCACAAAATCTAATTTAAGCCAATCACTGTTGTTTCTGTGAGTGGTCAATCAATCTGGACCCGCTGTTTTGTACACGTCAGCTAGAACCACCCATGATTCCCCTATGTACCCTTGCATTCGTCCCGTACCTACAACCAACCTTACTCCCCCTCACCTTGTTCATTTTGTATTCAGTGTTCATCACTATCGTCCTCCTAGTTCCTTAGATCCGCAACTTAGATAGTGGTTCACACAAACCGTCATGCAACTTAGATAGTGTTTCCTGTTTTTCATCAGTCTTCCGTCCCCTGCCTCTTTTTTTTTCCCATATTGCGCCACCAGGTATTGACGGAAATTTTCCAACATCACCATCGCGCTGCAGCAGCTGCGCTAGCTGCTTGGGTGGGCGTCGTTCACGCAGAGCCCGAAAATCGTCGCGCAGCATCCCAGGTGTGATTAGTGTATGTTGTTTCAATCTGCCTATTTTGTTGATTTCGTTCACTTTTAACTAGCAAGTTTCATAATGTTGTTACTCAGTCTCAATGTATCGATTCCGAGCTTCGTTTTGTGCGTAGCTACTATTGTCACGATGTATTCTGTTTTTGGCTGTTTGTTCTGTGTTTGCAACTAATCATGTGAATGTCCGGTTTCCAACATAGGCTGGCCATTTTTACGATCGCGAATATGGCTGTCGCAACAGCATCGTCGTGTGCGTAACCATCATCGATAGTACCGCCGCGAGTGACCATGCTTACAACGAAGTACATGCTTTAACTAACCCCTCTGGAGCAATGTGCGCGGGATGCATGACAGTATGCTGTGTGTGCATGTGTTGCAGGCAGGGCTTATTTTTTTTATTTTTACTACTCGGATTTCCAGAGTTGTTTTTTTGGGAACTCTGAAATTCAGGGTTGATCATGAGCGCTACTTGTTAAAGAAAGAACGAGAATGAAATGACTATGAACGAAGTGAGTACAAATATGAAACCCTAATTGGGTTGTACCCCCTATGGGATACCCCACTATAGCCTACACAAATAAGTAAGCTATGATGTTCTGACACACCCCCATAGGCAAAGTGGGGGAGAACAAGGGGTCACAAGACCAGTCAAGCAAAGCAAAGCAAAGCTCAGGGTGGATCACAAAGTCACCACACATTCCGAGCACAAGTTCAAGGGCCACAAGGCCAGTTCACATGCAAGATCATATATAGAGATATACAAGAGTCAAGCAAAACAAGAGCAAGAGTATATATAGGTCAAGGTACAAGCAAGGTCAAGAAGTGAGCAAGTGAGGCAAGACAGGCACAAGACCCAGCTGCGTGCAGCAACGCTGATGATCACAAGGCGCAAGTGCCTTGGTGAAGACATCAGCAGTGTTGGCCTCAGAGGCCACGTACGCAAGTCGCAACTGTCCACGCTGCTGTAGCTCACGAGCAAGAAAGTAGCGGAGAGCAATGTGCTTTGTCCTGTGCTCCAGTCGCTGCTCTCGACACAAGGCCAGCATGGCCTTGTTGTCTACGTACAGGACTGGAGGAGAACGAGGCGGCTCTCCAAGGTCGGTCAGCAGGTAGGTGAGCCAGCGAAGCTCCTGAGCAGCCATAGCCCCGGCGTAGATCTCAGCCTCACAACTGGAGCCGAGAACAGAAGACGAGCGGGTAGCCCGCCACGAAACAGAGCCGGAACCAAGGCTGAAGGTGTAAACCTGTGACGACCGCTGCGTAGCCTGGTCATCAGCCCAAGAAGCGTCCGCGTGCCCTGTGAGGACCACTGGACTGCGCCCTCCAAGCACTAGCCCCATGCCCGACGTACTGCACAAGTAGCGCAACACCCTCTTTGCTGCAGCCATGTGCTCTGGTCGGTGTCTCCCAGGAGCAACATAGCGTGCGAGAATGCTAAGACGGTATGCAAGGTCAGGTCGTGTGCAGGTCATCAGGTACATGAGGCAGCCAACAAGCTCTGCATACGGGCCACTCGACTCTACGGACTCATCCGAAGGCAGAGCTGAGAGCGAGTGACGAGTAGGCAGAGGAGTGGCCTGAGGCGAGGAGTACGTGAAGCCGAAGCTCTGAAGGACCTGCTGCACCATGTGTGACTGAGTCAGGGTAATGGTGCGGCGTGCTCTGTCCCGGGTGATCTGCAAGCCAAGGTAGCTGCGCAGTTCACCCAGGTCAGTGCACGTATGTCTCTTCTGCAGCTCGGACATCACGTGGGCGAGTCCAGCTGTGTCAGCTGTGGCAAAGACCAAGTCGTCGACGTACACGAGGATGTAGAACGGCGGCAGAGAGGTGTCGGTGCGCAGAAACAGCGACGGGTCGGCAGTAGAAGGAGCAAACCCAAGTGCCGCCAGCGTAGTCCTCAGTGTGTCGTGCCACTCACGTGGCGCCTGGCGGAGACCGTAGACTGGACGTCGGAGACTCCACTGGGTACCAGGAGGGAAAGACCTAGTGAAGCCAGGCGGGCGACGCAGCCAGATCTCCTTGTGCAGGCTGCCCTGCAAGAAAGCAGTGCTGAAGTCGAGAGAGTGCAGCTCGTAGTCACATTGAGCAGCAACGTGCAGCAGTACCCGAAGAGTGGTCATCTTCGGGGTGGGGGAGAAGGTCTGAAAGTAGTCAACTCCCTGCCGCTGACTGAAGCCACGAGCCACGTAACGCGCCTTGAAGACAGGCGGAGAACCCGGCGGCCGCTTCACCCTGAAAACCCACATGCCACTAACGATGTTCGCCCCAGGAGGTGGAACAGCGTCAACGTAGGTGCCTGTGGACTTCCAGGAAGCCATCTCTGCATCCATAGCTGCCTGCCATTGAGAGGAGTAGGGACCCTCTATCGCCTCCGCGTAAGAGCGCGGAGTCGGGATGTCTAGTGCATCCGGGTCTCCCTCAGGGGCGAGCAGTACAGACGCGAGATGAGGTGAAGCGGCGGCCAGACACTGGAACTCCTCCTGCCTGACCTCAAGGACGTCCGTGCCTAGGGCACACTCACCCCCGACGGACGGAGGACAGGCAGACTCAGACTCAGCGACGAGACTAGCAGCGTAGTCTAGACGACAGCGCGCAGCAAAGTCGACAAGCTTAGTGACAAGGGCAGATGCAGCAGAAGACTCGAAGGAAGGGTCAGTGACAGCAGTAGCAAGGAGACGCGTGACAGTGGGACTGGCAGCATGAAGAGAGTCCGACTCCGGGTCGGCAAGAGCAGGAAGAGAGGACTCAGGAGGAGAAGGCAAAGGGGCACGCAGAGGAGCAGTGGACGGACGCAGAGACATCCGGTGCGTGCCAGGGACAGGAGGAGGACGCTGACGCGAACCGCGACCACTAGTGCGTGCAGGACGAACAGGCGACGCAGGACGAGACGCAGGCTCACGACGCTCAGTAAGACCTCCAGTCGGACCAGCGTAGGGAGAAGGAGCAGGCAAAGGGGAGGCAGGCTGTAGCTGTGACTGGGACTGGACAGGCTGTAGACCCTCTAAGGGAGGCGGAGGAGGACCAGGAGAAGGTGTAAGACCAAGAACCTGCTGCAGGAGCGTAACGAAGTACGGTCGGGGCCGTGTGGCGTTGCCAGAAACAGCAGGGACAGCACCAGTATCCCCAGCAGGAGTACCCGCTCCAGCAGCACCTCCAGCAGCACCTCCAGCAGCACCAGCAGCAGCTCCAGAACTCCCAGCAGCACCAGGAGCACTGCCAGTCGGACCGCCAGCAGTAGTCTCAGCGCCAACACCCTCAGCAGCACCAGCTCCAGGAGAACCATCAGGCCCAGCAGCTCCAGCACCCACAGCACGAGCACCTCCGGGACACGCAGCAGCAGCACCCTCTGCAGCCGAAGAACCTCCAGCACCAGTAGTACGCCTCCAGCGCCGGGCAAACCACTCACGCAGCTCCTGTGGGGAGAGTGGCTCTCGGCGCGACGAAGCACCTCCAGGCGGAGAACCTCCAGGCGAAGGACCTCCAGGCTCAGCACCCTCAGGCAAGGCCCCTCCAGGCGGAGCACCCCCAGTCGCAGCACCCCCAGTCGCAGCACCCCCAGGCTCAGCACCCCCAGGCTCAGCACCCCCAGACTCAGTACCCCTAGGCTCAGCACCCCCAGGCTCAGCACCCCCAGGCTCAGCA